TGAATGGTGCTGAAGTGGCTAGTCAGAATATTGGTGTAACTGAGATTTCAACTCAATATGAAGCACGTATGGGTGCACGTGTTGGAGATGGAAGATACTTCCAGGGTATGATAACGTGTATGCAAATATATGACAAAGCATTGTCTGCAAGTGAAATGATACAAGCGCAACAAATGTGTGAAATATGCCCAGGTAAGTCTAATGCAGAGCAACATTTTATGAACAATATGCATTGCTATATTATAAATTAGTAACTATTGTGTAGGTTGATTTTTTATATCCATACTTATTTCAATCACAGTATTAAGCCTTGAACGAATAGTAACAGATACAACACAGTTTGTCAATGTGCAATAACGAATTTATAATTTGAGTTCCATGATATTACAAACGACTATTTGAACATAATGTAAATTCATTTGAAGCAACCTTGTCAATGAACAGTAATAATTTTTTTAGAAACAACTGATCGAATTAGAAGATTATTTTCAATAACATTAATAGTCAACAACAGTTTACTGTATGTGCTGGCAAGGACGTTTGAAACAACGGTTATACTACCTTTTCAGTTGTGATCACATCTTGCCCAAAACTATGAACAGTGATAAACATATCTCAACCCCAATGAATTGTGTGTGTCAATGTGTTAGGGAAAATTGCACACCTTGCAACAACTTTTTGATAAAAGACATGCCTATTATGAGTCGCGTTGTTATCGTTCAGAGTGTATTTATTACTGTTCCATACATGTTGCAAATGTTGATTTGAGACCTAACGATCTGACGTTTGAATACCACATTGTTTTATTTCTCAGAAATGCCAACTGAAGTGCTCACACCAGTTGCATATTGGCCTCTGAATGCAAAGTCACTTACACAAGACGAGTCTGGAAATGGAAATGATGGTGTAGTTACCGGGGCAACATTAGACTCAAATGGTGCTGGCGATATATGCAGTGCCTATCGTTTCCATGGCAATGCCAATTCTTATATTGAATTTCCAAACAACGGTGCATATGATACTCGTTATTCCATCACCATGCTGGCATATGTCTACCCTACTGGTAACAGCGGTCCAATATTCAACTTTAAACGAGACAACTGGGGTGTCCATTTATGGCAAACTGCCCCAACCCAAGAGTTTGTTCGTTTTTGTAATCGTGCTTTGCAGTTTACCAATTACTTAGCTGTCAATGTCCTGAAACACAACGATTGGAATTTCTTTGGAGCTACTTACGATTATAGTAGTGGTATTGCTAAACTGTGGT